CTATCTATTAAACCCTTTTTTTTTTTTCAAAGAAGGAAGGAAGTAAGAACCGACTAATTCGTCGTCCGACTTCCAGGTCAGCTGACTCGTAAGAGAAATAATAACAGTTGGAAAAACTCGTTGATCTCCTAGAATATTACACTATACGAGATTCAACTTAGGGTTTTCGGTGGTGATGATGATGACAATGACGATGTTTGTGCAGAAGTCCGGCAAAATAAAACTGTCAGCTAACATGATGTTCTGATATGAGCCTCAGTATAATGCATGGCGTGCAGTTTTGAAATATTAAATAGGCGACAAATGTCCGTAAAAAGAAAGAACGAGGAAGATGTGAACTCTCTTCTAGGCCCAGTCTCCAGTCGTGGGTGTCTCGATGCGCCCGCGGGACTCCCCTAGAATCGAATAGTAAATGCCAACCGAGCAGTGGTCGCAAAACGAGTGTAAATTCAAGCATTTATGCTCTACGCTAACACGCACCGAGCATTTTTTTATTGCTCAACTGTGCTCTGTTTCTGTTATAGGGGCATTCGACGCTTTGTTAAAGTGGCCGTTCGATTACAGAGTCACGTTCTACTTGCTGGATCAAGACCAGGATCATACACAACGTAAACACATTAAATTCAGCATCAAACCCAATCCCTGTCCAGAGAACGAGCCATTCCTTGGAAGACCAAAACTGGAAAAAAACGCCAGCTTTGGTGGTGCAAAGTTCGCCAAACACGACGAAATCGAAACCCGGAACTACCTCAAGGACGATACGATATTTCTGAAGATCTCTGTTGATTGTGATGGATTAAGTGAGCCGTAGAGACCGAACCATTTTTACTGCTTCATCCGTGAAAAACTAAATTGTGTAAATAGTGTAGGTAGATATCTAAACACCTGTTTGTGCAAAGTACACAGGTCAAAAAATGACGTCAAGGGCCAGAGTCAATTCAACAACAAAATCAGTGTTCTTAAACCATTGAAAATTTCTTACGAATAACCCAGTTTTGTTAACCTGTTACTACATTAGTACACTTAAACTTCACCCCGCGCGCTAACAATTTCAAGTAAGAAAGTTTTCATTTGAGATAACGAAAAACTGATTTTCATTTGCGCACAATGAATTTGTCTGTTAAAGGGCCATTTTGAGCATCAGGAAGTGTATTCTTGTACTTGTAGTGTGCAAAAAATCTAGAGGAAATCCTCATAATACCGTCCCTTTCAACGCTCTTTAACTCCCAAAAGTACGTCACCACTCATTCAATTCTCCTTACAGTAAAATTTTTCAATCAAAACATACAGATCGTGAGGAAAAAGAGAAATGATCAACAAGTTCAAAAAGGTCTTGACTGTTGAACAAATTCTCCTTACCAGTACCACAGAATAAAGTGCAGAATAGGCAAGCTGAAATTAGGGAACTTTTCCCTCTTTAGAGGCTGAAAGGGACTTTGCTTATTGAGAAAAGAGGATGTAGGTAAAAAATTAGGAGTTGGTCTTTCAGCGTTCGAGTCCGCACTCGGTACAGCACAATAGATATAGCCCGTGCGAACCTCATCGGCGGAGAGAGACCTCATATCTTTTTTTAGTTTGCATGTTTTGTCTTCCCTGATTTCAGACTATGTGATGTTACCCCATAGAACTGTCTCCTTCAAATGCCATGGTGAAAGGAAGGTTTTTACATAAGAAAAAGGTTCCATTACCAGAGGATTAGCTTAGAACACGAACATGGCCGCGGTTTTATTGTTTTGGTTCACCAATATGGCAGACATGACGTCATGTGAAAACGCTCTTTACTTCATGAAAAGACAAAAAGGTAAATTCCTTTGAAAACATGACGTGGTATGAATTGGGAAAACAAAACATACAAGCTAAAAAAGGTCTATTTGTTACGATAACTGTGCAAGATAGAAGAATTTATTAAGCTTCCGACTACAGATAAGTACATGTACAACTGTCTCATATCATTTACTTGGAAGTACCTAAGCACTAATAGTGCAAAAGGTGTCGAAGAAGAAAACTTTAAAGAAAAGTTAAAAAAACAAAACAAGAATATTCTAAAATGTTGATAAAGCTCCAAAGTTCGCGCATGCACATACTTATACCTAAACTATTCTATTCAGTATTACCCGTAATGGAGACAAAAGATAGAACCACACTGGGCGAGTCGAATTTTTTCGCATGTGTTCGGGCTAAGCCGATTAAGTATAGTTAAATAATAGCTTTGTCTATTTATTACATTAAGGAGCAATTAAAGTTTGTATGTAACATTCGAGAGACATGCCATTAATTTTTCCCCCTTCCGTAAACATAACATCGCTTGGGATACAAAATCTTTTGCCATTGTGCGAACTGTTTATCTTCTCTCAGTTCGTGTACGTCTGTTCATCAGTGAGTTCATCGTTAACCTGAGAAAGCAGCCGACATTTTGGCGATGCTACCTCTGGTTGACCCGCGAAACGAACGAAGAAATTCCATAATGATGACGTGTCACTACCCAAATCTGGATGGTGCTTCTGGTTGGTTGAAGCAAATTTCCTTCACTGCACGATCAATCAGAAGCACAACCCAAATCTGGGTAGTGACATGTCTTCAGTATGGAATTTCTGCGCTCGTTCCGCCTCGGACGTCGTTTGGCGGGTCTAGTAGTGACGCGAAATTTCTTCTGTTTCCTCAGGCTAGTTCATCGTGTCAGGTTTTAAACTTTATACAGCTATTTCGAGAAAGGTTGTCGGAAAAAGTGCACGCGACAACCCCGAAAGGTATTATGGGTGGTTGAGAGTTCACTGCTCTTCAAAAAAATTTGAAAGAGTGGCACAACAGGCCATGGACGTATGTTTGTGACTGTTAAAGGAAAGCAACAAAAGTAGATTCGACAACCACAGTGTCAGGAACGGTGTATTGATCATATTCCATATTACCTTTCGGGATTGTCGCATGCAAAGTTTTCCCGATAACCTTTCTCGAAATAGCTGTATAATACTCGGCGAGAGGGTCTTATTGGCAACAAAATACCTAGCAGAAATATCAGACGACGATAAAGCATTTTTGAAATTGTATAAGTATAGGTAATAGCATGATTTGTGGTGATATTTGGCATAAATACCACGAGTAATTTTTCGAAATTGTTATACTTAATTTCACGAGCCGTTAGGTGAGTGAAATTTGAGACAATTTTGAAACATCACGAGTGGTATTTATGCCAAAAATTACGTACAAATCATGCTATTATTTGTTTATACTACTACCCACAAAAGGGTTGTAATTTTCACATGTAGGTATTTCAAATTAAGCTGAAATACCACTGCTCTAAGCCAATCAAATTACAGAAATTTCTCATGTAGCAGTATAAATATAGAAATACAAGGGTTAAATTCTGCAAACGTGTCCTAGAATGTTTTTCGTGCAGGTGAGAAATAAAAATGCGAATAAATAAACAGACTCAAACGCACGGGTAACTTCCTCAATAAAGCACAGATGGCAATAATGTTGCCTGGTGTTCGTGTCTTTCGACGAAGTTTCAGCTCGATTTAACCAGTATAACATCACTCAGTGAAACTGAGAAAGGTAGGACAGAATCGCCAGCTCAGTGATAAAACCTGCTTCAAAAACAACTCCAATATTCATTTCCTGACCAAACTCAAATAACTCCGCGCTTTCGGAGTCCGTTGTATCATCTTTTTATTGAAGTGTGTACAAATGACTCGAAATGGCGTCGAAAAGGCAGACAAACGATTACAAACTCTTGCTGAAAAGGTCATCCCTGTGTACCACAAGAGAACCAAGTACTACAGGATTCCCAAGATTAGGAGTTTCGTTCTCCTAACGACTACCGCAAATATTTTTTAATGGTTTGCGTAACCTATTCAACGGATGTGACAAAGTAATTTTTTCCCAGAAAGCTTATTCAGTAATAACCGTAATCCAGGGAAAATCTTACTCTACATCGACTAAAAGTAGAAATATTTTTAGCTTGACAGAACATAGCTTGGACCCAGATGTTTGCTACATCGCATTTAGATTTTAGATTCACTTTTTACAAGAACCTCTTTCTTCAAAATCTCCATCTCTATCTATCTCCGAACCTTTCAGTGGGGTCTTAACTCGTCTGACACTTGCCTACCAAATAATGATAATAATAATAATAATAATATCTTTTTGAGATAGCGCTCATATCCTGAGCTCATGGCGCTTTACAATGTAAAACAGGGGGGGACAAGCATGCATGAAATAAAAAATATTAAAAGTCTATTTACAATCCATATATTACAATTTTTAAAATCATTTTACAAAAACAATGACCCATTCCCTAAAAATTGCCTAAAAAGATATTTTTTGTAATAACAACGTTTTTCGAATTCCAGACTGAATTATGGGTGTGAAAGTTGCAACTTTCGGGCTAATTAATCCGCTAAGCTTCTACACACACAGAAACGTAAAATCCTGTTGGGCGCCTCAGTCAGTGTTACTGACTTTCCCTTAACTTCAGCGGAGATCGTCTTCAGTCTCTTTATCCCAATATTTATCTATAAAATAAAAATTCTGAATCTCAGTTGCAGTGGATTCCTGTGGCTTTTTATAGCATATGGTTACAGCGTTCTCGGTTCTTTTGTTTAGACTTACAGTACCCTGCTGAATGATCTAATATATAACTCACTTTCTGTTAAACTCCCACTGATGTTTGGAAACTATAGTTCATTAAACTTTGATCTCTTTCCTATGGTTTCCGTAAATTAAAAAAAAACATATTTCACCTTGGAAACGAGCATCGCCATGTCAAAACATACACGTTGAAGAATATTCCTCGCGTAGAGAGTCATTTTGCATTCGTTTTCAAGCTGTTAACTTTCGGTGTGAGACAGGAATAAGCAACGCTGAAGGCTAATTCAACAAAAAAAATTACTGGCTTGTTTCATATTTCATATTCAGTTATTGAATCGCACAAAGCTCCCGTTGTTTCGCATTTAGCCAGCTTATTGATTGACGCAAGAAAAGACACTGTCGACCAAGAACCAATCAGAGTGTTCTTGATACAAACGTTTCTATTCAATTATTTATCATAGCTGATTGACTAGCAAAAACTTTGAGGTTTTTAACGAACACCCTACGTCTCTCTTTATATCATGACGCTAAAGTAAACTTTTATGTCAGAAAAAGGCTTCATGGCAGCTGTTTTGTGACATCTTCCGTACAGTGCTTCGAAATGGATTAATAATATGACCGGTGGAAACGAAAACTACAGTCCCACTGGAAGCGCTTCATCTCGAAGGAGCAGTCGAGGAAGCCCAGCTCTGAGTTTACAAGAAAAAATTGATCTCAACTTGTTTGTGTTTCCGTTGGAAAAGAAATACAGGTGTCCAATTTGCGAAAGCGTTCTTCGATACCCGGTACAGTTTGAGGAGTGCGGCCACCGAGTGTGTTCGTCGTGCTTTCCCGAACTAGCGAGGTAAGATAAGTCGTTACAGTGAAAATAAATGCAAAGTAGTGAGAAATCTGGCGTTGCCCTTTTGTTAAAGCAACGTCTGAGGTTTATTTAGCAGAGAAAGGCACACGGTTTTAAATTACGCCGATTTAGTCGATTTAGGTTTACAAACACGAGCTGAAATAAAAGCACTTGTCTAGTGATCAATTTTTATTTCATGAATACATGCAACATTAACATGAGGATAATCCGCGTCTCTCGGATATTGCGCAAGGTCCACATTAAATCTCAATTGTGTCAAATTGAAAATTTACAAGGGAATAGGACAGGTGTAGGTTTTTCACTGGCCTGTGAATGATTCATCTTTTATTTTTTTATTTAATATCTTCAATATCTTTTGTAGCCACGTGAAACAATAAAGTCATCTATTCCGTTATTTTCGGGTCCTGTTTTGTGAGCATGGAAATCACCAAACGAGGTGACGAACAAATACATTGATGCTCTTTCAGTGTTTAAGAACCTTTTTAAAGGAAATGAATGGGAATTTTTTTTTTTTATCTGAGTCTCACATACACGGCAATTGAATGGTTTTAGGAGTGACCCGTGAAATGCAAACTGATTTTTCCAACGAATGAACTTGGCCGCAGACACTTAACAAACAAAGCTTAAATTTATGCAATAGAAGCAAATTTCTGAAATTTGCATTGAAACCAAAAAAATTGAATCTGATTTTGAGTTACGCTCTTCAGTGTTATTACAGAGTCACTATGTTTGGTGTTATTATTGTTGTTTTTATATTTCAGATTAGAACCACGTTGTCCTGTGGATCAGATACCCATCAACAAAGACGCGGCGAGTTGTACTGAGCTCGTAGATGTTTAAATATTATGCAGAAAAACTGCTTTAATTTCTTAATTTCTTCACCGCAAGGGCCGAGTTGAAAAAAAAATCTGAATTATAGGAATGTTTTTAGATCAAGCTTCGATCTATGGTTTCAATTTGAATGATCGCACTTTAATATTACTTGAGCGGCGGTCAAAAGGCAGATCAGGCAGCTCACGCAGAGAGTTAGGTAAACAGAACTACAAGTGCAACACGACAGCACTGCCCGGCTATACCGCCTGCTTCCACTTCAGCTGTCATTTAAATAATTCCAATTTTGATTTTCATATGCTGAATAAAAAGATGAGCTACTCCCTAAACAATATAAACAGCACCACATGAGAGTTGATTTCAGTAAGATGGAGTCAATTTTAATGAACATCGGCACGCTTTATTAAACACTTTAAAAACCGTCATGCTATCTTTTTTGTGCCGAGAACGTAAATGGAGGGCTATTTGAACCCTTTTACTGAAATTTTGATCTTAATCTTGAAAGCTCCAGTGACAGGAAGAGAAATAGTGAACAGACTTGTTGTTTTTCTTTCCGAAAAATTCAAGTTGGTCCATTTGGCGGCAAAACAAAACGTTTTATCCCCTACCAGAACAAAAGGTGTATAACGTACCGGGCGAACTTAGGCACTATTTTACCACAGAGACCTCTGCATATGGAAATACGATTTAGCTTAACTACAAGTGTGATTTCAAAGGCAACCGTATAGCCTTTCAGACATAACGATTACCATTATTATCCACGACACTGAGGTCGGAGAAGTAGAGACCACCAGTAGTAGTTTATTGCGGGGATTATTTACATAACACCTCTTTATTTTTGCAGGCATATGTTGACAAGGCTTTTAACAACGAGATCTTAGCACTTGATGTAAAGTGCAAAAACAGTGAGGAATTAGGCTGTAAATGGGAAGGAGAATTTCAGCATTACCAGGTGAAAAATACACATTTGGTTTGACAAAAATGCTCCTCTTGCTTCCAAGAACGAAACTAACGAAGCACGAGAACGGCATATTACAACAACAAACAAAACTCGACAAAACGCCCAGAGATTAAAAAATTATGGTGGTTTTCAGCATCCCGCAACGCAAAACGGGAAAAGGCTTGCAAACCAAGCCAGTCTACTACTTTAGGACTTATCACCCATATTTATTACAGCAAATGAATTCTAAAACTTAAAAAAAAAAACAACAGAAAAAAAAAAAACAAAATCTGAACTAGTTTTACCCTCACGATGTGGTATTTGAACGGCTGTTTTTATAATTTACCGGATCCCCATGGGTTATGTTGACAGAGTGGATGTACAGATTATTGGCGATTTTGTACAGGCTCCATAAACAATATTTTCAATGTGTTGGCAATACTAAAAATAGGTGTTAATGCTTAATATAGATCCCTGCAGCTCTGGAAATGTACATAGCACAGTCATGTCAATTCATTGCTTTGTTATGAAAAACAATTTTGGGCTAATGGATATCTTTAGTCAATTTCTCTTCGTTCAGAAGTAATTTTGGAGAAAGAGGAGATTAGCAACAGCAACGGTAAAAACAATAACTAGAGCATGATAAAAAGAAAGAACATTTCCCGATTTAATTTTTTATGTTTATGATACAACCCAGTGAAATTTACATGTTAAGCACACTGTACATAAAAAGCGTTTGACAAGGCTCAACTTTGGAAAAAAGAGAGAGAGATGAAAAAATAAGCACCTGTCTCTGTCGTCCTTTTAAGGCTTTTTAGGCCGGAACATCAATGGAACATGCACTACGCGTGGGTAGTGATCCATCTCTATTGCACTTTCTGTTGTATTATCTTTGTTCATTCGAATTTTAAATCGTTCGAATTGTTTTCTGAAATACCCAGCAAGATCAACCCCTCGAAAAAATCTGATCCCAGTGCAGTCGGCGTCATTAAAAGGCGAAAAAAATTGTTATATACAAAATTCAATTTTTAAACCTTTCCGTAAGAAAATGAGCATGAGTACCTTTGTCCCTGTATTTATTACCTTGTGGAAGATAAATCTTAAACGGAAGATTATTAAGTTCATTTGTCATAAAAGAAAGAGTGATATTTGAAGAAACTGTTTCTAATATATAAAATGCCGGAAGTGTTCCCTCTCAACTTATAAATTTTCACTGACTTTTTTCCCTTCTGTTTTCCTTTCTTGTCACTAATTCAGTGTCATTTGTCAAGGTTTCGGTAACCATCGTTAATAAATATCTCGGCTATCAATCCAAAGCTTTGCCGAGCATTGTTTCACTCGCATGTTCAAATAAAAACTTTAAGAAGTTTACTCTGTTTAATGAAAATGCGGTTTTTTTAAGCTGGCACGTCGGATAGGAGGGCGTTCGTCACACAAAGAAAGACATTCAATGAACAAATTTGTCATGAAATTGATTCCGTTGAAACCATCGGGAGAGCGATACGGGAATTAATTCTTGACGTTTTAGCTTAGTTGTCATGGCACGAGCTATAGATAAACATTTAATCAAGATTTTCCGGTGAAATCCGCAGCAGTGAGCAAAACAATACGCTTGTTTGCTTAAAATGTCAAAACTATCATCCTTGCTGGGTTTCTTGCACACAAGGCGAATTTTACGTTATTTTGCAAAATTAACTGCAGGATCAGCTGAATCATCTCCATTTTACATTGTCCTCAATACTGGACTTCACTTTAATCAATCAGCATTGTGTCAGCGTTCACTAAACTTAGGGACTCTTTACATGGAGGGCCACATGTTTTCTGTATTCAATTTACATTCAAAGGGTTGTACCTGTCCCTAGCGCTATGATCTTCCTAGTTACTAGGATCTTCCTTGCTGAGAGGTAGGAAGATTCCAGCACCATGTAAATTGCTTTCGCTGGGAAGATCGTAGTACCAGGGACCAACTAGGCAAAGAAGGTGGCGGGTAGTTCAGTGAGTATAACGAAAGTAAAGGGCGACCATTTCGTTTGGCGTCACCACGAGCTGATAATTGTGATACTTCTGCTGAAAGGTAGTTACTAACGCCAGTAAAGAGAGCAGAAGGGTCCAAATTATATTTTTGTTATAGTCGCCAACCATCTTTAATTCCCCCTTAGCCTGCCTAGCAAGCGTTTCCGTGCGGTTTAGGAGCAAAGAACGAGGAACGAGAGTCAAAGACCGCGCGAAAAATGGCGTAAGTAAAAGAGCTGGCTCTTGTTTCATTTCTCGCGCGGCCAAAACCGAGAATCCCGTTCCTCGGTCTTTCTTTGCTCCGAAACCAAACGGAAACGCTTGCTACGCAGGCTAATTCCCCCTTTACTTGGTCACCACAAGGACCGAAATTTCTTAAGGTATGCATGTAAACCCAATTGAAAGTTGTTCCTCCTTGTAGGATCTTCCTGGTGCTAGGATCTTCAGTGGGAGTTGCACGTGATTCGAAGTTGCAACCAATAAAAATCGCACAAATTTTCGGGACGGGCATGGGATACAGGAAAGTTAAAAAAAACAAGGCAATTTGTGACTCCCATGAAAAAGATCGACCGAATTTATGACGCTGCCTGACAACGTCATCCCGCGAAAAAAGCTAACCCTTTTGGCCGAGCCAACAGCGCTTGCGCATGCTCTGATTGTCTCGCCTTAGGGGAATTGACCCGACTGGGCGAGTTAAGCGTTTTTATGGAGAAAAGTTGGCCTGGCTAGGAGGGTGACCCTAACATCACCGAATAGGGTGACCTCGCTTCTAGCAGAGTCAACGTTGGTTTCTCATGTTAAAGGTTCGCCACATTTTGCAACGAGATGTATGAAACGTTAGCTCGGCCAGGGTAACCTCGGGTGGCCAGGTCACCTGACCTGACCCTTCTCAACGGGACAACTTTTCTCCATAAAACGGGGCCTTAGTCATTAACATTTTTAGCGAGCAGATCATGCGCATATCATGTATTTTTATCATCACTGTTATTCTTTTCATTGAACAAGGCTTGTCGGTGAAACAAATCTTTGAACTGTTTTTTAATCGAAAGGTGAAATCAAAAACGGTGAAACTAAAAACAACAAAGTGGCGTTAAAAAATATATGTATAATAATGCAGCGGCACTAAGTACGATATAAAGAATGGCGTCACTGCCTTATTAACATTTGCCTGTTCCTTCGATGACACTCATACATAATTCTTCATATCATACTTAGCCTCATCCAATAATTGCTTATTATTGCTTATAGCGTAAAATGCAATAACAAGTCACTTGATATGATTTGGCATCGCTACGCATACTAACCGTCTAAACGAATTATCTACCGATGTACAGTGTGAATGTTCTTCTACCTTATTGTCATTTATTTTCGAGAGAGATTTTGCGCCAGATCGATCTCCGTTGAGGAAAAATTTTCAGCCACAATAAAACACGTTCTTGTTCGTCCGTAATAAAGACGGATCAATTCAGTTTTCTATTAAAGTGCCCACCCCCCCTCCTCTCACATTTTGCCTCGAGTGAGACGCAAATGTTACCGTTGAGTTAGGGGAGGGGTAGGTGGGCAGCTTCCCAGAAACTTAAGTGATCCATAAAGACAAGGGTTTGCGCCCAGAATGTAAGTGATGACCTTTGCAGGGAGGTCAAAGCTACAGAAAGAATTCTGTTACCATCCAGGAGTGGTACCTCTACTAACAAAAGAGCAGAAATGAGAAAAATGTTTCTCCATTCATCACTATATAGAAAAAAGAAACTAGTTCAATGTAGGAGGTTGAGGGGCAATATCCACCCTTTTGTGTGTTTTGGTTTCAGGAGCATGTGAATGTGAATTGTGAGTACCGAGAAATCCTTTGCCAGAATGACTGCGGAGCTAAATTTCAGAAACGATTTCTGCAAAAACATCTGGATAGAGACTGTCCAAAGAAGATCATCGCCTGTCCATACTGTGACGACCGACACATGCGAGAAGACAAAAAGGTGAAATACCTTGTGATAAAATGTGTAAATCTTACGCTTCAAAAGCAAGTGCAAAAGACCTTTTCAGCTTGTATGTTTTTTTCCCCAATTCAGACACGTGACGTTCTCCAGGGAATTTGGCTTTTGTCTTGTCATAATGTCTGCAAAATATGCATGTGGTGCACGTTCATAGGGCAACATTTTAAAGAAACAGTTCTCTGGGGTACCATAACGTGGTCTGAAATAAGAAAACAGAACATACAGACTGAAAAGGTCTATACTGAGAGACTATTTGTCGCAGAATAATTTTTGACCCCAACATCCAAATTCAAATTAAATTCTTAAGACTGTTCTCCACACATTTCCTTAAGAATTAGTTGACACTAATTCACGCGAACTTTCCTCTTAATCATGTAATGATATTGTTAGGAGAAAGCTGACTTTGGTCACTCTGTTGAATCTGCAATGAGTTGAAGCGCACTTAGCTACTCCGACTACTCCAGCTAGCATGCAGGCACTGCATTCCATTAATCACAATGAAATCAAACAAATCAAACATAAAGTCTCAATAAGTCCCGACTGGTAGTTAGTGTTAAAGAGAGCTATTGACGAGCTTGACAGAGGAAATGTACTCGAGACAGCAGAGAATATTTTAGTCAGGGTCAGAGCGAAATTCGTATCCGGACTAGTGCATGTGCTCAGTAAATGTATTCCATCAATTCAGTGAATTGGTCAAATAATTAGTGTTTTCCTTCCACAGGCACATCTTGCAGAAGAGTGCACGAAATTACCACTGCCGTGCCCAAACAAATGCGACAAGACGCTGGAAATACCACGTGATGAGGTACGTTTCAGCACATGGTTCGTTCAGTTGGTAGTATGCTGGTCACTTCTTTGGGTCGAAGGCTCGAATCTCGACCGGACCAACACATAGGGGCTGGCTTGCAAGTGACAATGGTTTGGATGAACACGCTGGCCGGTATCACAGTCCTGTCTCTAGAAGGGGTAGTAAGAAAGTAGAACCTGACAGTGCTTTCGAACATAATACTTCGCACGAGATACATTGATGTTCACATTGTAATACCGTTTTTAAGGCATCCTTGTCCAGTCTAGTTCGTAGAGAGGAGTTCTCTGGATAGTAGCGTTGTAGTAGTCAGCATTTACATAACAAATTCGCAGTAGTAACAACCAAAAATTGTATTTGAATTAACGTTGTTTTTTTTTTTCATAGATGGACAAACACATTGAGGAGGATTGTCCAAAGACGAAGATGAGGTGTGAATTTGAAGCCATTGGTTGTACACATCGGGTAAGACTCTACATATCCAAAACCAGTTATTATTTGTTCCACACTTAACTGATAAGTGTTATCTTGTTTTTGTCCCGGGGAGGATACTCCCTCTGACGGCCTTTACGGGGAGGCTCACTGAGGCTCAGCTTGGAAGGGGTACCTTTTTCAGACTTCAGGGTAGGGGTCACCCTGGTTAAAATATATGAAAGAGTAGGTAAATCTGTCATTGTGGTCTTTGAAATGAACTGAAAGGCCTGACCAAAAAGGGCATTTTAAGGTTGTGAATAGACTAAGAGGAGTCCCTCATTTTCCATCAAGGATAGCAGAGCTAGCGAAACGCGAGCGGGCGTGAAAATCAGCCCACTCGAGACGCGGCGGGGAGAGAGAAAAATGAGGCGCTCTCGTTTCGCTTGCTCTACTATCCCTAAGGGAAAATGAGGGACTACTCGTAGTCTAGGTTGTGAAAAAGACACGAAAACTTTCTGGCTTAGTGATTTATTCATCTTTGAAAGATAGTGCATTTACAGCAGTTAAAAGGTATGTAGCCTAGTATGTGAAAGGGGTACCATTTGTCAATGGAAGGTATATGAAAGGGACACCTCTTCTGTCAAGAATGGTATATAAAAGGGTAAGGGGTTGGACCTCGGGCCGGAGCCTCCCGCACAAAATCTTGTTGGGTACCTCGACGGGGTGTTGTGCATCTTTCTTGAACTGGATGAATTAAAATGGAGCTTTGGGAATAGGCGCAATTGTGTAACCGTTGTCTCTTGCAATGTCCCGGTAAAGAGCTTGCTTGCTGGCTTCTTACAAAAGTACGTTGTACATCTTTCTCTTGCAGTGCAGCCGAGAAAAACTTCCAAAGCATTACAAAAATAACATGGTTGAGCACGTTAAGTCGATCTTCAGCAAGTTATCCCAAGAACATGAAAGACTAGAGAAGAATGAAAGGATGCTTACAGAAAACGTCGACCGCATAAAACAACTGGATAAGCGCGTTGGAGATCTGGAAAAAATCGCTAACAGTCAGCTGATCTGGCGGATCGAGGACTACACGCGGAAGCTGAAGGAAGCGAAGGCGGGCAATAGTGACACGCTGTTCAGTCCAACGTTTACAACCAGTAAACACGGCTACCGCCTGTGCGCCTCCGTCTGCTTGAACGGCGACGGAAAAGGCAAAGGCACGCACATGTCTGTGTTTATCAGTGTACTTAGAGGTGAGAGAAATGGTTAGAAATTACAAGGAGATCATTTATAACGCTTGATTAACAAACAGTACCGATACATCACGACTTTCTGTAATAAACTATAAGCTCAATGTTGCGCGCCATTACAATTTTGCACAACTCCTACCTCTATAACGCAGACACCTCATTTAAAATATATGGTCTCTAAGCTTTGTCCCTTTAGTTTAGCAAACAAACCTCTTTTCTGCCTGCATCCTCTACAACGGCTCTTAAGCCCCGCGGAAAATGATGCAACATTGTTGGATGCTACATGGTCCGTCCGTTTGCACACCCTGTTACATGATGTTAAGAGATATTATGGAAAGTTTGAAACCGGTCAGACTTTTGACCCAACAACTCGCAATATTTCTTTTGTTCCGTGATTTCCGAAGCGTAGCGCAACAAAGTTGGATCCGTTTGCACAGCTCTTTCAACATTGTTGGCGGGGGCCAAGCAAGCTCATTACGCGTAGCTTCCAAAGTCTTATGGGTTGTATCCTTCCCACGATGCACTGCGGGTCCCAACATGAATAATCAGTTAAATTTCTTCTCAGGAGCTTTCGACGCTTTGTTAAAATGGCCGTTCGATTATCGAGTCACGTTTTACCTGCTGGATCAAGACGACGACCACACACATCGGAAACACATCAAGTTCACCATCAAACCCAACCCCTGTCCAGAGAACGAGCCATTCCTTGGAAGACCAAAACTGGAGAAAAACGCCAGCTTTGGTGGTGCAAAGTTCGCTAAACACGAAGAAATCGAGACCCGAAACTACCTCAAGGACGATACCATTTTCCTGAAAATCGCCATTGAATGTGATGGACTTAGTGAGCCATGAAAAACAAAGCAGGTTTAGATCTTCAGTAACATGTAACTGGATTTCTGTAACTCCTGTCAATGAAGGGCCTGTGTTTCCATATGCGCATGTACGGTTTTGATTGACATTGAAAGACTTTTAACAAATGGCAATCGAACAACTTAGTAACGAGTGCCACTCAATGTTGCGTGAAGACGGTACTTCATCGAATGGAAACACATACAATTCAGCTCTTACCAACTCGCATTCTCATCTTTTCTGCCAACTTAAACTTTTTCCACTTTTAGCCACTACCCTTGGAAAAGCAATGCGCTTTCGTTTTTAAAACCCCTGGAGAGAAGGGGATACTTCAACCATACTAAAAAGACAACCAAATATTCCCTGAAAACCCTCCGCAAATGACAGATAATTTCTTGCATACGATAATACATGATGATATATTTGATACGACAAGCGAAGCGCATGCAAAGAAGCGTGTACCAGGCCCATGATTATCAGTACATATATTTTCTAGTTGTATACCTAGGTAGAACAAAATATAGCTTAAGCCACGGTTTAACTGAAAGCTCAATCACCTACAAAGTCCATTTATTGCGCAGAAGTTTCTCTGGAAGAAGTGTGAATGGAATGGCAAGATTGGGTTTATCAGTGCACAGTTTATAGGGAATACGATCATATTATATTATACTATTGAATCACGGTTGTGTGTTAGAAAAAATGCAGAGGAAATTTTTATATGCAGTTATGTGAACATTGTTATACAGATTATATTAGATTTAAACAGCAGTACTGCACTTCGGGTTGCAATTAATCAAGCTACATCGGCAGACGAAAGTATTTAGGAGACCTCACCCAACACCATGTGTAAACCCTAGGAGTTACCAGCTAGTAATTTCTCCTTAACAGATCACTGCTCAATCAATGAGAATAAAGGAAATGATCACCAAGTGAAAAACAATGCTGATTGTTTAAAAATTCTCATCGTATAGTCCACTTTAGCCTGCGCGCAGACGAAATTAAACTCTGGTTAACTACTAATCAGAGTTTAGTTATCGTCTGCACGCAGGCTAAGTCCACTTCCGAGTTCAAAAACCCCTCACTTTCAAAATGAGGCCAAGTGCACAGCCTTTCTCATGAAAATGAGTTTTATCTGCACGAGAATGAAAATCATTTCCATATCAAAGGCCGAGCACTTAGCCTCGTTTTGGCACAAAGGCCCGGGGGAACTCAGGAATGGCTTATTGTAACGATAACAGTCAAGTGTGGAAAAGATGGTTAGCCTGTATACAGCCGCCCCCTTCTCTCCCCTCCCTCTACCTTTTCCTTCCCTCGAGATACACCCTTCATTAAATTATCATAGCTATGCCCAAGTCCTGACCAAACTCAAACCAAGGGGGGCGGAGGGGTTATTTTACCCAACATAGTTCATATGGGGGAAGGCAACGCTCCAAGGTTCAACTGATCTCTCTTTTATGTATCATATTTGACGGTAAAGGTACCCTTTAGTACCTTCAATTGAAAAATGATACCAAGTTTAGAAATCGAATGCATGAGGATTTTCTGGACCGTATCAAAGAAATTGATAATTAATGGCTTTTCAGGTAATATTATTATCCATATGAGTTTTTTTGCTCGGCATGAGCATTAAAGCAAGCATAAGCCTGAACACCGGACTCAGAACATAAGAAGCTTATGCGCTAGTGAGGATGGCCGTGAAATAAGCATAAGCGTACGAAGAAGGCGAAAGGTTTTGATATTCTTGCAATAGTGTTTATGCTTATCGTTAACACTGTCCTCATTAGCGCATAAGCTCCTTATACTCATGCTTATGCTTGCGTCGTTAAGCAACTTGCCACGATCGTTATTTTAAGACCACTGTAACGAATGAGACATAAAGGATCCGATCAACACCATAAAAAAGAAAACACTAAGGCTGATTTTTGTTCGAGAAATATCGGTGCAGACAGTTTGCCGGGTATCCTAAAATTGGAAATTAAAGAACTGTCTTTCTTCTTGGCCGCGAATCTCAAAGCCTGTTCGTCACTAGCGACGCAAGCATAAGTGTGAGCATTAGAAGCTTATGCGCTAGTGAGGACGGCCAAGACATGCTGATTAAAGCCGTGCGTCCCTCTTATGCTTGTTTATGTCACGACCGTCCTCACTGGCAGCGTAAGCTTCTTAAGCTTATTTTTTGTGCTTGTGGCTCTCGGGCTTCAACCCTGGTCCGCACATTCAGCTGAAGAATACTGAAATGCGGGGACTCAGCTTGCTAAAGGGTTCCGCTAATATTCTTCCCTTTATTGTATCAGTGTGTTGCTTGTTGTTAGATAGGGAAGGAACATGTCGCCTGGACGATGGGGTTATACTCTAAACAGCAGTTTTTCAAACCGCTGTTCTGCATAGCGGTTTCAAAACATTTATTGTATAGCCTACAGGGCGATCTGGTGGCGGAGCGGAATAAGCTTGCTCGCAGGCTACAGTCATTACGTCATTACGGTGCCGATCCTATGGATACACTTGGTAACATGTTACTGACAGATATTAACTGTATGAATACAAATTTATTATATTTTTCATCACTGAATTTTTGATAAAACATTCTTATTGTTAAGAAAACTGCCCACTTTTTCAATTACGTATTTTTTTCTCCTGAAAAAAAAAAAAAAAGGACAAACAAACAACTAATGGTGGGCAAAATTAAGATATGTTTGAATTTTTCAGTAGTTATCCGGCTGTATCCTGGAGACCTGTACTGTGAGAAGAACCACAAATTAAGGACTCTTTATTGTGAATATCATATCAGTTAAGTCCAATATTTTAAGGTTTGTGGAACAAGTTTAGGTGTTGGCCATCGAAGAATACTAAGTGGTTACAAAACAAAAGATACAGGAACACAACAACCGGATGGAAAAATAATCCTTTAATCGAGTACGAATTTGTGAGATATCTGGCATTCGAAAGGGGGCGATGTTATGAAGTGGGTAAAGTAAAAAGAATCCCTGATTTTTTAAGTAGAAAAATGGTCTTTGTTTGATAAGATTTTCGTGCAGTGACTCAGTTTAAGCGAATATTTTTAACGCGACGTAAATCAATAAATGACCCTGGCTTTCAACCACATTATTGGCGAATGACTCATAATGTATGGATGAAGGGATGCCCATTCCTAGTCCGTTGAAAAGCGGATATCTGGTTACCATAAAAAAATAAACGAATTTTCACTGGCAGGACACGTTTTAAACATCTCTCGAAAAGTTTTGTTTTTCACTACCGACCATCGAAAAAAAGGAAAATATGGTCAGCGATTTAATTAACACATTTTTTCAGCCTTGGCTTAAGAGTAAATGATGTGTTTTCAAAAACCCACTATGAATTTGCAGTGGATTTTCTGAGTGCCAGGTGTTTTTCATCTTCAAAATCTTTATCATAAGAATAAACACGTGTTAAGACCAGCAGTAACAAAGTTCTTGTCACGACTAATGATGTTTCTATTCTAAACCTGCTGGTGACTTTACAGCTACACCCAAAGTTTATTTGTGAGTATGCACTATGGACCCACGGAACCGCCTAGAGGCCGAAACAAAGGTTGTTCACCCACAAAAATGTACGAAATGAAAGCTCCCTTGCTGATAGTATTTATCTTGAAGAGATGTTAAAACTAAACCGGAAGTTTGTGGGATAATGTCTTTATCCCCAGATCGTTGTCATGCAAATTCAACGTCATAAAACCCTGTCACGTTTCAGTGTTGTGACTCATTGTTCTGGGCATGCCCAGTCAAGCACATCCTTACGCAAAATTTATTCAAACAACAGAGACAACATTACAAGAGTGACATAAAAACTGCCGACGGTTTGAGAGCAGGTATTCCCTATCTACCACACGCAAGACTGGTAAGGGCTTGCCGTGATACACAGAGGATTCGGCTCAACATTTGATTAAACGATGCCAGGGTATAGGGCATTTTTCGTTCCTGCTGTAAGTGAAAATCTCTTATGTCGAATTTGTCATTTGCCCGTTCGGAACGCTGTACAGGTCTCGGTTTGTGGGCATCGATTTTGCGATTCTTGCCTCAATGGAGCATTGAGTATTAACACGAGGTAAGCGAATGACAGTTTATTTCCAGTTGATCTTTGTGTGATTGATACAGTACATGGTTGAGGAGGTTAACCTGTACACGCGAAATAAAGCAGATTCTGTCTTGAAGTTTGTTTATGTTAAAGCTAGATTTCGAATTGTTACTTACCTACACCGTGTTTTACAAGACGGTCAAATTTTCAACAGCTGGATTTGTAGATGTTAAAATTTGTCTTGTAATAATTTAACCTTGTTTCGCTGGGCTTAAGCTGGTTATGAATGGTAAAAATTTGATAGAATGCGCAAATATTTTTACAAGCAATTTTTCAGAATTCTCGATTCACAGTGGGGTTCCTGGTAAAAGATGCTTAGCTGCGATTATTTTATTTCTGCATTTTGCGGAGACGTTTTTAAGTAACCCGATGACGGCTGAAACCCTTGTAAATCCTGACTCCAACAAATGGAGATTGTCTTCAACCTCACGTAGCAAATTTGCCTCAAGAATAAGCGACGGTTAGAAGTTTACAGCAGTGATCTTAAAATACAAAGAGCCCTTCATGAACGGAAGATTAAATTGTAAACATTTATAGTGTTCTATGCTTTCCAAGACAGAGACCGAAAATTAGTTCGTTGCTTCAAAAATTCCTTTAAGAATATTAGCACCGACCTGCAGGAAATGTGTTCAGTATATACTCCAGTATATTGCAAAGGGAAAAAATGCATTACATCCTACACTTCTTTGATCGAATAGTTTAATATTTGTTCGTTTCCTTAAAATACCAGGTTCCCCTTAATTCTAGAAATTATATCTTATCTTGTTTAAGCGTATAATTTTCCAGAATGCACTACTGTCACACGTTGTTGCAAATCATCGACTTTTGTACTTTAAACTGGCTTTCCCAAAATAGTTTTGTGCGGCTGGACAAAATCAGAGGGCATTTGAAACAGAGATGGTTTTTTTCAATGTCTCTTTGATCCAGCTTTGTATAAATTAAAGCAGTCTTTCAGGAGATAATGGAGTATTCTGGAGTTTGACAGTGACAGCATACTTGTTGTTGTTATGACAATTATCGCAGTTGAGAAGAATTTCCTCAGTACAGTCCTATGAGACCGCCGTTTCCTTAAAAAATTGTCAACCTTGACCTTAAGTTATTCTTTTTACATAGGATCGTTGACAACAATTCTGTTCTCAATGGGAAATGAAATCAAAATTGATTGTAAAGATACTGCGAAATTTTCGGCCATTCTTTTCTATTTTGATCATTTGTTCCTGTCGTCTGGGTAGGATGAAAATTTTCTTTCAACCCCAATTTCCGACCACTATCCAGCCACAACGACTCGATGACTCAAGTCGAAAATATTTTTGTATCACAAAATCATGAGCCATCGCATGTATTCTGTAAGTGTGTAAGTGATTTAATTTTCGTACAGATAAAAAAAACGTTTCCTTGCTGAAAAAGGCCCTCGAAAGATGCTGAGTTTTTATTGCGATGATGATACTCTGGCTAAAAACTTTTAACATACTAGAATCGAGAGTATTGAGCCTAATAAAAGCAAATAATAAGATATACATGCAAATTAGACGAGCTGCTCTTTTCAAATTCCGTATAGCAGAGACCTTGTACACAAATATATTAATTTTCTTCAGCCGGGCGGAAAAAGAACAAAAACCCA